CATTTCAAAGAAAAGGCTCCTTGGAGCATATTGGGACTTCAGATTTTTGATGCTCATCTAGTAACTATAATGTAAGTATTTTGAAATAAAAAAATAGAAAATCTGAAACATTTCTATTCCCAAGCATTTTGGGTAAGGAACACTCAGCCTGGACTAGGTACATGCTTCATATATTCCACTAAACTATGAGTTCTTTGATGGGTTTTATTCCTCTTTCCATCCGTTGTAGCCCCAAGCATAATGCCTGGAATATAGTTAGGACTCAAATAGTTCTTGACAAACTGCAGGAGAATGAAGACCATGAATTCCAAAGGAATCAATATCCCAGTATTGTTAGTAGGGGACCACTCAGAGTCTAATCAGATCCACACACCTACTGAATGCTTTCTCACACTTCCTTCTATTAAACTCAGAGTTTTAAAGATGATTGTGCTATGTACTGATGGCCTAGCACACTGCCAAGAGGTATGAACCAGTTTATTTAAAAACTGAAATTAAGCTCATTAAAAAAGTAAAAACAAAAATTAGTAATCCCATGGGGGAAAACATAATTCCACTTTGATGAGGGAAGAAGGGGGCGGGGGGAGGAAAATTGTACACATGTTAGGTTGAAAAGCCCATCCCCTTAAGAAAATAAAGAGGAACACTACAAAACATTCATTTTCACTGCAAATTACCTTCAACTATATTGTTCGTTTTTAAATGATATGACTATTAACTGTGGTCTATCCCAAAGCCAGGGAGAATATACTGCTATATGGAAGAAAGAAAAGTAAAGATGTATAAAATCTTCAGGAAATAAACAAAATCATCAATATAAAATGAGAATTGAGGTATTCTCCCAATGATCTTTCAGAAATTTTAATATGCCTTATACTCAGACTCAGGAACAGTCAAGATGCTTAACTGATTATTATAATATCAGCCTGCCTATTAATAATCGTGTTCACCTTAAAAGCTACAGGGGATTGATTTTCATGAAAGGACTGAACATTTGGATAATTTTATCCTGTTTAACGATATTTCCATGATCATATCTGCTCTACTTGGAAAAATCTTCATTAACAGTTTGCTATACTATAACTCTCAGTAGAATGTCGCAGTTCTTAGTGTGAAACTCACTCATTTACTCATTCACTCGCTCACTCACATATTTAATATTTGAAACTTAACAGGGATCAGAACCTGAGCTAAATCACTGAAGAGATCAGAGAGCGCTGAACAGTATTAACAACAACAACAAAAGGTGACATCTCTAGCAGTCTTGTAAAAGTTAAAGATAGAGAGGTAAGATCCCAGGGGTAGATTATAAAACATGGAAACAAAATGTAGGCTTTCTTTAGGAACTACAACTGTAACTGGTCATTACTTTCCAGTTATACTCTCAGCACAATTAGAAAACATGACATAAAACACAAAAATATGTATTTTGGTACTTTAAGGATTTGTTAACCACATAAGGACTCACTTAAAAACAAAAAGACCCAAATAGAATCTACCTCTTCCTCATTATTAAGCAAACCACTATTGGTAATATCTGAGGCTAGGAAGAAAAGCTGCTGAGTGGGGCAGGGCTCAATCACTTGGATTGATGGCATGATGAGTAAAGAGCTCTTCATCTCCTGTTTTTGCCCATGTCTGTAATGTGACAGAAAACCTGCAATCCTGTCCTGACAGCATTTCCCTAACAATTATTCTAACCGCTACTTTATTCATCATAATGCAATAAAAGGAGTTGTTGAAGAGGAGTTGGGAGCCTTGAACGCAAGAGCCAGCGATGCTATCCACTCTGTGACCTTTACTACCATTCCTCTTACTACTCACCTGTGCATTGGCCTCCGGTGCTCTACCCACCTCCCTGAGTGAGTCTGAGGCCACACAGAATCGAGGAGATACTAACTATTCTCACCCAGAACAACCTAACTTCAGATTTCATGAGGAAGAGAAAATTGCACAATGGGGTTACAATTTCCCATACTGCCTGATATGGAAGGAATAATTCAGTTAAATAGACTAAATTAGGAGACTGGGTTCTAGGGTCAACTTTACGTAGTAATAATATAAGATCATGGCCAAGGCACGTATCCTCTCTGAAAAGCAGTCCCCATAGAGCACCAATTAAAATACCTCTCCTATCAGCATGCTAGTTGTGTTGTGAGGCTAAGCAACAATACAACATAAAAGTTGTCTAAAAAAACTGTAAAATATTATTTAATTGGGCAATAACAAAATCAGTACAAAAAAATTGTATTCCATCACAGGTGCCACTCAGCTATTTTTTTTTTAACTAATAAGACACTGGACAGAATGTTTACATCATACTCTAAAAATTATCCACAAAACCCCCAGCAGTAATCCTTAGAAGTGGATATATTATTAAATTATATGTTACTGAAATCACATGGTTTGTATGTCGCATACTATTAGCTACACCTTTTTATGGAAGGAAAAACAATTTAAAACCGAGCATCGATCTAGTGAAAGTAATAGTGCATACATG